ATATATATTTAAGCTGTCTTCAAGGCCAGAGACAAGGATTTATCCTTTAAAGTTGTCAACTTGACCATCCTCCTCTTGGTCATATTCTCTCCTAGGCTATAAATTCCATGAACGAGGGACTATGTCTTACCTAAACTTTTTTATCTCCCCCAGGCTATAGTAACATAATACACACAATAGGCACTTGATAAAAATTTGTTGGATGATTAATTAATTAAACGAAAGGGAAAAACTTAGTGAACCTTATTCTGATATATAAGCATAAATTATCATTACAATTAACTTTTTAAAAGGCAGCATATAATGATATAGGAACGATAAGACAAAATACCATGGCACTTTAAGGGAAAAATCTTGTCTGCTTAGATGATCATGGAAAGTTTCAGACTGAAAGCAAGTACAATGAAAATAAGATTTGACAAGGACCTTGAGTGGTAGATTGAACCACTGCAGCAGCTGCAGCATCCGCAACAAAGCATTTATTTCTTCAATTCTTACAATGTGCCAGCCACTGTGATTAGAACTGGAGATACAAAGAAAGGTAAAAATAGTCCTTGCCCTCACACAGTTCATATTTCAACTGAAGAGACAACATATAAACAACTATATACAAACAAAATATGTAGAGTAAAACTTGGATGTTATTGTCCATCCTTCTTTCTCAAAGAGGACCAATGACATTACAAGGGTGATGTCTTGACTTGCACATGAACTGGATATGAGTGAGGCGGAGCTGTGCAAAGTCATCAGCCTTACTCTTAAAGTCCAGTGGCAAGACAGAGTCAAGGCGACTGCAATGGCCCAGGATGCAGCGGGTGACCTTGGCCTTTCTAAATTAATATCTTTCCCAAGTCTCAGCTGGTCTGAAGCAATGTCCATTCAATGACTAAGGGCTGGGTAAGAGTTGAGATAAAAGATGGCCCAATTTACCATCATGAAGATATCATTCTGGGAGGGAAAGACTCTCAGAGTTTCAGGCCAGAACAGAAAACAATTGATACTTACATTTGTTCTAAGCCATCAAAACTAAACAATGAACTACAAAGGCTTGGATTGGGGCTATTATTGCCCATTCAATGAAAGTCAGAATGATCTGGGTTTAAAGGCAAGTCAACAGAAGCTTTACTTATTTGATAATTTTGTTGTTTTATTCCTAACAATGCATTTTTATTTGTCATATGCATACTGTATATAAATGTAGAACCAGGTTAAAAATAAAGTTGCCTACTTATTCTTAGTAGCAAGAAACAATTTTACATATTGGCTAAAATACAATGAATAATTCTCTCAAAATTAATGTCACTACTTAATACTTATTGATTGATAATCTGAATATTTATGATTTGAGCACATGGAGAAGTATAATTAAGTTGGTACTGTATTCATAACAAAAATTAAATTATCAAAAAATAAAGGTGTTAGCCACCTTCACCAGGCAGATTTTTAAAGGAGATATGTTTTACATAAAAAAAATTTGAGAATTAAAAAAAAAATTGTGTAACCTATTCAGAAAAGGTAAATGAACAAAGCTTTATTTATATACAAATAGGGGTATTCTTATCTTTAAAGATATATGGTCACTGTTAAGCTAATTTGAGGAGAAAATGATGACCTTTTCAGTAATTCATGGTATCTTAAGCTTTGGGCTGCTGTAATGAATAAACGGCTAGTCTTAAGAGTCCAGCTTGTAAGACAAAAACTCATTCGGTGACCCTGGAAAAGTCATTTAAGCTCTCAATGCCTGAGGCAGCTCTCTAAAACCATAAAATTATGGAAAGTATCTAACTGCATTGGTAGAGGAAGTTTGGAAATTAAATATACTGTATAACATTTAATGCTAGTGCTGATGATAGATAAATTGGATATAATATCAGAGAGAAGGTACTTGCAGTGATGGGGGAGGTCCAAGAAGGGCCTCTTACAGAAGGTGGGATCTGAGAGGAATAGTGAAGGAAGGCAGACATTGTAGTGGGCCTGGAGTCAGGAAGACTCACCTTCCTGAGTTCAAATTTGGCCTCAGACACATGCTAGCTGTGTGACCCTGGGCAAATCATTTAACCCTGTTTGCTCCAGTTTCCTCATCTGTAAAATGAGCTGGAGAAGGCAATGGCAAATCACTCCAGTACCTTTGCCAAGAAAACCCCAAATGGGGTCACAGAAAGTCGGACACAACTGAAAATGGGGTCATGAAGAGTCGGACACAACTGAAAAAGCACCGAACAACAATTTGAAGACAGAGAAGTCAACAAGAAAGAAGTATTTATTAAGTAAGCTCCTATTATGTGTCTCATGCAAAGGTGAAAAGGAAGAACATTTCAAACATGGAGTCAGCAGGTAAAAAGGCTGGGATCAAGAGGTGGAGGATCTTGTACAAGGAACTGCAAGTAGGCCAATATAGGAGAACAGCTTGCGTGGAGGGGAATAAAACATAAACACACTGGAAAAGTAGGAAGGGGCCAGATTGTGAAGGGCTTTTAAAAGCAAAACAGAGGATTTTACATTTGATCCTGGAACTAAGAGGGAATGACTGGAGTTCACTGAGTATAAGGGTAACATGGTCAGACCACTTTTAGTGATGGGTTGAAGTGCAGAGAAATCAGAATCAGGGAGAACAATTCAGGAGGTTACTGTAATAGTTCAGGTAAAGAGGGTCTGAATTAGGGTGGTGGTTGTGTGAGTGCTGAATACTGAGAGGGGAGATTTGCAACAGATGTGGAGATAGGTCATGATTTGGAAAATGTTTGGTTATATAAGGTGAATAAGAGTAAGAGGCTGAGGATGATATGATACCTGCCTTTCTAATATGGGTGACTAAGAGGGTTGTGGTACTCATGATAGCAAGAGGAAAGTTCACAAGAGGATAGGGTTTGGTAGGAAGAATGAGTTCAGTTTTCTAGATGTTGAGTTTGAGCTGTCTACTGGTATCCAGTTCAAATCGGTGATAGGAGCTTGAAGGTAGAGACAGGTTAGGGTTTTACAAACAGATCTGAGAATCACCTGCATAGAGATAACAATGGAATCAGTGAGAGTTGATTAGAGTCCCAGTGATATAGTAGAAGAGGTCCCCTTCAGGGACGCCAGCAGGTTGTGGGCATGACATAGATAAAGATCCAGCAAAGGAGCCTGAGAAAGAGCAATCAGATTGGTAAGAGAACTTGTGAAGAGCAGTATTACAAAAATCTAGAGACAGAGTATGCAGGAGAAGGGTATGACTATGTCAAAGGCTGCAGAAAGGTCAAAAAGGATTGAGAAAAGGCCATTAGATATTAGCAATTAAGAGATCATTAGTAACCTTGGAGAGAGGAGTTTTCAGTTGAATGAGTACTGAAGCCAGTTTACAGACGGTTTAGAAGGGAAGTGATGTTGTTTCCCACATGCCACATTCCATCTTCTGCTTCTGAGCCATGCATAGGCTGTCTCTGGGACTGGCCCTGCCTACAACCCTCCCCACAATCTGGAGTGTTCTCTCTTCTCACCTCCACATCTTGGAATCTCTAGCTTCATTCAAAATGTTCCTCCAAAGCTACCTTATACAAAATGGGACTTTGCTGATTCCCTGAGTTATTATGCTCCTGACCCCTGTAAACTACTTTGCATTTACTTACTAGGTATATGTCTTGTATCCCCTCCATTATGATATCCTCTAGGGCAGACTTTCATTTCAGAATGTATCTCTCATGTGGTCTATGCCTGGCACATAGAAAAACTTAATGTTTGTGGATTTGAATTGAAAGAATGAGTTCCCTGAATGTTTTCTTTTAAGTCTATTACATACTAAAAGTTCAAGTGCATTTAATAGCTGACACTATAAGGCAGGATATTTTTCACTGGACACAGTAAGAATATTTGTAAGATGATCAACTGTGAATGACTTAGCTATTCTCAGCATTACAGTTGATCTAAGACAATTCCAAAGGACTCATGATGAAAAATGCTATCCACTGCTAGGGAAAAAACTCATGGAATCTAAGGGAAGATTGAAGTATACCTTTAAAACTTATTTTTCTTTTTTGGGGGGGAGAGGCTAGGTTTTTCCCTCATAAAATGACTAATATGGAAATATGTTCTGCATGACTGCACATGTATAACCTATATCAAATTGCTTGCCTTATCAATGAGGGGGGAGAAGAAGGAGGGTGGGAGAGAATTTGGAACCCAATTTTTTTTAAATGTTAAAAATGGTTTTTACATGTAATTGGAAAAAATAAAAGATTAATTTAAAAAAATTAAAAGTTGGATGTTTTTAATTAAACTGATTCAGAAATCCTCAATAACCAGGAGACACCAGATATGAAAAAAAATTTTATTTTAAATCAAAATATCAAGCAGATACTGGCAAAAACAATATACAAAACAAAACTCAAAATGTCAACCCTTCCTCCCAAATCATCTCTGAGCAGGCACTGATAGGAAACAAATATTCCCTTAGGAAAAGCAACTTTCAATTCCAGCTCTTCTGGAAAATGGAAGCCAAATAAAACCAGTCTGTCTATATTTACAGTTTTCATTTTATGGCAAACCTGTCTCTTGTACATGGTTCCAAAATATTCTTACTTCTAGTTTTAGGGTTAAAAGTCCTGACCTATGTAACGAGAGCAGTATCCTTTGAGGGTCAGGTGAGGCAAAACAATGCTAACTGGGACTTGTGTCCTAAAAAGACAGTAATGTTTAGTACATGTGCTATACTGTTAATTTACATAAATTAAAGAATAGAAAGAGCAGGAGGTTTTTTTTTTTGGTGGGGGAGAGGGGCCCTGTTGTGTGCTGCTGTATATGAAAATGTTAACTACAGAAGCAACAACTAGCTTACAGATGAGTGTAAGTAGGGTATGATTTCTTTAAGTATGCATCGGTATCTTCCAGAAGTCACACTTTTCCTAGTCCAGGCCCCTTCATTGCCCAATTCGACATCCTGGCCTTGGCCCCATCTTTCCAAGTGAAGCAAAAGATTCAATTATTAAAATATTATTTAAGGGTTTGAAAATAAGAAGAACTTTTCATTCAGTTGAAGTCAGCTTTTATTAGGTGCAATGAATACTAAAAGTTAACAAAGGAGTCACTACTGACAGGGCTCAAAGATCATTGTAAAGAACAAATGGATCCATACCTTCACACATTTTAAAAAAAAAATCCTCCCCCCTTTAAAACCATTTTCTAATTATGTTGGAAACTTAAACGGGCAGCATTATCCCCTAAGACTATGGCCCAAAGGTCTGAGGCTGTCTTTTTCTGCTTGACTTTATCTAGCCAGTGGCAAGTCTTAAAAAAAAAAAAATACAGGTCTTCAAAAATGCACTTTTAGAAAAGCACTTTTTAGTGCTTTTGTGGTTTATCAACTCTTACAATGTACTGGTGGTGCAGTGAGGAAACAGGGTTAGCAAAACCATGAGCTAGAAGTTAAGAACATGCTAACAATGAGCAACAAAATTTTAGAATTTTGTTTGTGGCACTTAATTGCTGCTTTTGATTTGTGCTAGATTGTGAAACCGAATTTTCCTCTCATGGGTCAATAGGCCAAAATAGGGGTAAAAAAGATTTCCTGCTCTTGCTTTAAGAAAATGAAGTGAAACTGACCCACTTACTCCATTTTAGCCCTTTAGCTTCATTTATTAGAGATCATAGGATCATAGATTTAGAGCTAGAAAGGACTATGGATATTATAGACTGCATGAAAAGGGAAGGGTGCAATTAGGTATTTAAAATAGAAAACTATATGAAAGGCTTTTCCCAAGGTTAACAACCATTTTTTTTTATTAGTGACATGATTCTTATCCCAACAGCACCCCATTAAGGAAAATATGAGGGTGACCATTGATAAGTCTGATATTCACTGAGTATATAGAGCCTTCAAGATTGAGAACATTGACAAGATCAGCATAGGATCCTAGAAGCATCAGAAAAAACCTGTTGCTAGGTTGGCCTGCTGAACCATTGCTAACATAGTAAGGCTACAGGGCTTAATGAAAGTAGTAAGTATACTTTAACCTACAGCACTGGGGGAACATTTAGCCTTTGGACTTAGGTTTGTTACATCATGTATAAGATAATTTGAGTCAATACCACCACTCCCTTTTAATTCCCTATATTTATATCAAGTATAATCAGACTCCTACAGGTAATATGACTCATAACTGAGTATGGAAAAATTGTTTTAAAAGTGAGTATCTATAAATAAGTCAATATTGGTATGTAACCAGATGACCCACAACAAAAAAGTGAACAAAATTTAACAGAGAGGACACCAGGGCTTCAGTAATTTGACACAGTGAGAGAGTAGCAATATTGGATGAAAGTCACAATTGAGAAGTGGGAATGTCTTAGGAAAAACAATAGATTTGTGTATGAATCAATTCAAAGATGGAATATTGTATGGTGCATTTAAAATAAGTTCCACTCAAAGCCACACTACATTAAATTAAGTCAGTTTTCTAATGGCTTTAAATACAGTAAAGAGATAGTGAGTGACCTACTGGCCTCCTCACATTGCCCTGATGTACTTAGGAAAAAGGATCCCCACAATAGCCACCAGTCAGACAATGAAATAAATGGGCTGCAAGACTGTTAAAGGAAACAAATGTAACTGGTTTGACCTATAAGCAAAGGCATAATTAGTCTATGAGGGCAGGAATTGGGCTATGGCCAAAATTTCCTTCAAAATACATGCACACACAAGTACACGTGCATGCACAAACATAAAGAAAAATATATTTTAGGCCAATGATGAGATTGTAGAGTTTTAGCTGCCCTAGTAAAGTAAACTTACAACACAGGACACACTCTATTCCCAGAAAGAAGTATAAGAAAAAAAACACTTCAATAAATATTTTCACTTCCTTCTATTTCTTAAGAAATTATACCTGACAGCTTTCAACCTCCTTTATCACCAAGCTCCCTGGAATAAGCTGTGAGGCTGCTGGAAAGAACACACACTGGAGCTGATCAGTCTTTCCCAGTAAGTCAGGGGGCAATTTGAAGAAGGAATTTAAGAGTCAACAAAGGCCAGAAAATTATGAAAAATAAAAATTTAAATCCAAGAATTTCCAAATTGGTAACTTTAATTAAAATTGTGACTCAGGCACTTTCATCTTCCAGATTACTGCAAGATATTTTCCTGTAGGAAAATGTCCTTAGTCTTTAGGAAAGAATTTTTCCCTTATTAAAAAAAAAGGGAAACTTTAAAGTTGATTACTGCAAAATCACTTTTTCTTCTCTTTCTTTGACCCAGAATGCAACTTGGATTCTTTATTCTAAGACCACTTTCCCTGGCAGCTCTAGAGTTATCTCATGAGCAATGTTTTTGAGCACAGAACACCTTAGCAAGTTGCTCATGACCTCACAATCGGGCTGAATTCAATGGTTTGATTCCTTACTACACTCTGACTATGAGCAAGGTCCTCCTAAACCCAGATCCAGAGCAGGAAACACCTTCACTGTACATGATCTTTCTGCAGCCATCTATTTTTACTGTTTAAAACTTTTAGGACTAGCCACCTGGACTTCATGATTTAAATGTTATTGGCAAATCCAAAGAGGTGCTTTCAGGCCAGGGAAAACCATTGCTTAGGCACATCCAACTCTGCTATTTAAGCAGGATTTGTACACACCAGGCTTCCAGTTGTTGAAGGCTCAGGTGGCAGAGCTAGTCAGACTAAGTCTGACAAAGTGGCTATACTGGTGGCTGCTTGGGATAAATCTATGATAACAAAGCTGCATGTGTGAGGTATGAGAGCAACATTTAGTAACCACCAAGTTTAAATTTGAGAATCCTATAACCCAGTAACAACATTTAACACACTCACTGTATGTACCTTATTCATAGATTTACAAAGAGTTGAGTTCCCTACCGTTATCTAAATCTTACAGTTATATTTCTCAGTAACCTGTTACTGTTTTACTATCTATTTGGTGCATCCCAACACCTGGGCAAAGCCTAATCATAACTGGGTTCCTAGATGATAGGTGTATTCTTAAGTTCCCAGGGTTCCTTCTTTACTACATGTGAATATAACACAATTTTGAAAACAACCTACAAGCTGTTGTAATGGCCATTAAGAACCCATGCTTACTTCTTCTCAGAACAGGGTCCCCAAGTCCTACTAGCATAGAGAAAAGCAAAGTAGCCCAAGAATTTTCAATATTGGTTCAGATAAGCTCATGAGATTATCTGAGAAAGATGCTAACACAATGCTAGGCCATTTAAAAAATATAAAACATACAAACTCCAGAGTCATCTTAGGAAACCTATATACGTAGCATTCTTTTGTTAAAAATGCTACAAATTTAACTTTCCCTGAATGCTGAAATGATTCTTTTTGAAATATTCAAACTACTTGTTTAATCTGGCCTAGTCAGGATCATATATTGGACAAGTAGACTGACTCATTAGCTCAATCTTCCTACCTTGGGGTAAAATATTCACATTTATTGGCCCCTTTTAAGCCCTCTCCCCTCTCAGTACCCACCTTGAGACAGAGAGAGGAAGTTTGTGTCTCAATGTGGCCTGCTTTGAACTCATTCACCTGCACCTTGAAGATTCCTCTAAAGTTTTCTCCCAGACCTGTGTGTGTACACATATACATTATATAAACATATAATGTATATATAATTATAAAAGGAAGGGGGAGGAAGGAAACTATCCAAATTAAAACCTACAGAAAAACTGTGGGAAGACACCAAATCCATAGGATCCATGGATTTTCCACACTTGGGTATGGTCCCCAAGACCTTTATTATTGTCCCTTTTTTCCCTTAAACACTTCTCAGACCTCAGGCAAGGAACTTGGCTAGAATTGGAAAAAAAAAAAAACAAAACAGGCACATGTGACTACTGATTTGCACCAAGTTGTGCAGATACTTGCCACCCCAAGCTCCTAAGTCTTATACAAACCTCATCTGGTGCAAAAATGCATTAACTGAACTTTACCACATACCCTATGCTGTAAACCAAACTAACCTTCACAGGAAATGACAAGAAAGCGACAGAAAACCCTGGGATTGAAACCCCAAGAATTGACATACAATGTTACTGTTAGAGAATCAACGTTTTCCTGAGGTTCTTTAGGTCCGCATCCACAAATATCTCTTCAATCTTTTTCATCCTCTACTTTTCATCCACCCTGTTATTTTACTTAGACTTGCTTCTTGCTAGTCATTCTCCTGCTATTTCTAAATGTGAAACCATGCTGTTAAGCAATAGTTGGAAAAATACATATCCCAGGAAAAAAGGGGGAGAAAAGTTTAGTACTTGAAAACTTTTTAGAAGTTGGTATAATTCATCTAACTTTTTTTTTTGGTGTTTTCTCTCTCTCTCTTTCTCTCTTTGGTTCAGCAGCCTCACCATTACCCACTTTAGCCAAGTTATCTCTAAGTTTTGATTCCTTCTACCTTTTTTACCCTCATTTTCTTAATCTGCAGCACAGACTGGGAAAAGGCAGCTCTCAAAGACACAATCCATTTTTAAGTGTTCTGTTACAGGTCCATCTCCTCCTTTTTAAAAATTTTTTTTTTTTACTTCTGATCATGATCTTCTGACACTGTGGTTACCTCAATGGTGGTATGCTCCTCTGAGGTTGCCCCACTCTCCACAGCACTAGATGGCACGGCCACAATTGTACTACCACTAGGAGATACCTGTGTTACGTTCTGTATGGTGGTGCCCAAGCCAGGCAAAGTGAGCAGCTGGAAAGGGCTCACCACTTTAACCACAGTGCTGCCATCCTGCATTGCTGCTGTGCTGAGTACAGTGAGGTTGGAAGCATCAGGATGGATCTCCACAGTGCTGGGGAAATTAGAACCTGAAGAAGCCAGTACAGTATAGCCCCCAAGTAGTGGTGAGGCTGGGGAACTAGCAGGAGAAACTTGAGTTGAACTTTTCCCCAATATGGTAGATGGAAGAGTAGATACCACTTTGCTCAGTGGCAGGTTGGCAAGCTGAGAAACTGGTACTCCTTGAGTGAGGGCTATCTGTGCAGACTGAGTCAGTACTTGAGAGGTTATGGCAGCTGGCCCAGATGTAGCCCTCGTAAGTCGGGGACGTTTCATGGGCGGTGGAAGAGAGACAGGGGTCAAAGTCATTAGCACATTATTCAGGTGTTGGGATTTATGCTTCAGTTCCTTGGCTCTTTTCCGGTGCTCATCACACTGCTGCTCTAAAGCTGAGGGGGGAAACAAGAAACAAAATGAGGCAAGCCAATGATTGTGAAAAAGTGCACCATCTGCAACTGATATGGAATCCAAACACAACAAAAATGTATTGAATGACATAAATTATGCTAAGCACTGTGCTAGGGTCCTAGTTTAGTTTAGTTAAGATACTACAGAGGCAAAACAAAGTGCCATAATATGAGCACTGTGGTTTAGAAGGAAGGTTGTTCCTGACAGGGGAACAGAAATTTCATGAAGAAGTGATTATGTGAATCAGATGTTAAAGGATGGATAAAAATTCAGCATGCACAGTGGGAGAGAGGATGTGAGCAAAAGCATAGTGACCAGAAAACACGATGGAAAACTACTCCGAGGACAAGACTGGTTCAGTTTGACTGAAGTGGATCACGTTTGGAATGCAAAGAGGAGAGTAATATGAATTAAGGCTAGAAAACAAAAGTGACAGGAGATTGGAGAGGACTTGGATTTCTAGGCAAAGAAATTTCAACTTTATTTGATGGTTAATAGGGAACCGCTGGAGACTCTTTTTTTTTTTTTTACTGATATCTTTTTGTTTTTATATTAGCTTCTTCGCAAAATATACCTTCTCCCTGCCCAGACCCCTTTCTATAAAGCAAATTTATCTCCTGTAACAAAGATTTTTGTTTTTATAAAGAGGAAAAAAATCAGGTCAGCAAAACCAGCTAACACATCACTCTATACCAGGGGAATCTTCTTTCCATCCAATATGTTGCAATACACTCCAAACAAAAGACCTTGCCTGGAAAAGTTAAGCCTTTCAGATCTTGAACTCCTACCCAAAGGCTCATGCTGCTTTGTTAGTGCCTCTGATGATCTACTATATCTAAGGCTCCAGCCTCGCTTCATTCTATACCCCAGTCATTTTCTTGCTATCTCATCTGTCATTAAGCATGAACTCTGACCACCTTTCCAGCTCTAGACTCATAATCAAATCAGTAATACCACTGGGAATGGATCTACTACCCTATGGCTCACCCATCATCTCTGTGACTTACCAAAACACTCCTTCCAGACACCACTACCCTCTATGTATTATCTCCCACTATTAGAATGCAAGCACCCTTAGGGAAAAGACTGTCTCCCTTTTGAATCTGTTTCCAGAAGCACTTAGCACAATACTTTGCACACAGTAAGTCCTTAAAAAATACTTCTTTATTCATCTTATCAACCAAGTATTAGTAAATACAACTTTCCACAACCCAAGGGAAAAAGGTGCATTTTCTCAACTCTTGTCTAGAGCCAAGCTTGGTCATTATAATTACATAGCATTCAGTTTTGTTTTTTCATTTGAATTGTTGTGCTCATTATGGATATTATTTTCCTTGTTCTGCTTACTTCTCTAGCAGTAAATGAGTTCAACAATGAAAGTTGATATAAATGATACAAACAATAATTTCACACCTGTGTACCTCCTAACTCTACAAAAGAGTAAGGGGAAATGTCTTCTCACATCTCTTCTTTGGGACCTTGCTAGTTCTTTGTAATTCTGTAACATTCACTTTTGTTTCATGGCTGCTGTTCTTTACATTGACATTGTTGTCATTATGCATACTGTTTCCTTGGTTCTGCTTACTTCACTCTTCATCCAGTTCATTTAAGTTTACATTTCTCTATAGTAATCACGTACACAATTTCTTACAGTATAGTAATATTCCATTGCATTCATGTATCATATTTTGTTTAGCCACTGCCCACTAGATGGGAATCTATTTTGTTTCCAGATCTTTGCTACCACAAAAGGGCTACTACAAATATTTTGCTGTATACAGGACCTTTCAACCTCCTTAGGCTACATACCCACCTAACAACAGGATGTCTGGGTCAAAGGCATGGACATTTAAGTCACTTTTTACTACCTATCAATTAATCAATTAACAGGCATTTATTGAGCACTTACTTGCAAAGGCAAGAAGACAGGTGATGGCTGGGTCAGGATGGGCTGAAGTAGGGAGGGACCTAAAGCAAGGAGATCAATTAAGTAGGCTATTGTAATAGTCAGAGTAAGAGGTGAAAAGGGCCTGACCAAGGGTGGTGGCTATGGGAATCAGAAGGGGCAAAGTATGCAATAGATGTGAAGAAAGGACATGATCTGGCAATTGACAGGATATATGGGGTGAGTGAGAATGAGGAGACAGGGATAAGACTGAGGTTGTGAACCTAGGTGACTAGAAGGATGGTAGTACCCTGGACAGTTCTAGAGAAGTTCAGAATAGTAGATTGAGGAGAAAAGATGAGTTCTGTTTTGGACATGTTGAGTTTGAGATGCCTGTAAGTATTCCAGTTCAAAACGCTGAACAGGCAGTTAGTGAAGCAGGATTAGAGCTCGGGAAAAAGACTTGGATGGGAGATCTATATTGATCTATCCAAGACTGAGTTTTGGAAACTATTTTTGATCCTTCATACAAAGATGGAGAAAATCACATAACTGTTCTGACTGGGTCCACTACAAATGCATGTCACACATCAACTGGGCCCTCGTTGCTGCTAAGCAATCCTTCTACACTTCCCCCGTCAACTTATTATCCCACTCTCCACAGAGACTCTTTCAAGCTTTTCCAACCTTCCTAAATGTCTCATGGCTCCCCCTCCCCCTCTCCTCACAGTTGAGAACCTTGCTTCATATTTTACAGGAAAAATCAAGGCTATTCACTGTAAGCTCCCTCTTCTATCCTCTTCCTCATCTCCTATCACTCAGATGCTGCCACTATCTCCTCCTTCACCCTTGTCTTAGAAAAGGCGGCCTTTCTTAATAAGGCAAACCCCTCTACCTGTACAAGCAATTCCATTCCATTCTGTCTCCTCCAACAGATTGACCCCTCTGTCATCCTCACTCTATCACTTATTTTAATCTCTCCCTGTCTATTATCTACAAACATGCCTAAGTCTCCCTCATCACAAAAAAACCTTCATTTGATCCTTCCATCCCCACTATTTTCCTATACCTCTTCTGTCCTTTGTGACAAAATTCTACAACAGGTGCCTCTACTTTCTCTCCTCTCACTTTCTTCTTAAGCTTATGACCTTTTCATTCTACCACAACTGTTCTCTCCAAAGTTACCAATGATCTTAATTGACAAATCCAATGGCATTTTCTCATTCTTCTTGACCTCTCTGCAGGCTTTTGACATTGGTGAACATCCTCTTCTCTCTACGTTTTTTGGGACACCACTGTCTCCTGATTCTCTTTCTACCTATCTGACTGCTACTTCTTGGTCTCCTTTGCTAGATCCGCCTTCAGATCACAACTTCTAACCATAGGTGTCCCTAAAGGTTTCTGTCCTGGGCCTTCTTCTCTTCTCTCTCTATACTATTCACTTGGTGATCTCATCAGCTCCCATGGATTTAATTTTCATCTCTATGAGGATTCTCAAATCTGACAACTCTTATATATACCTATCTTTGTCTAACTTCTTTTACTGACCTCCAGTCTCCCCTCTACAGATGATTTTCAAATGACTTCAACTAGATGTCCAATAGACATCTGAAACTCAAAATGTGCAAACTGAACTCATTATCTTTCCTCTTAAACCCTTCCCCCAATAACTTCCTTAATATCGTCAAAGGCACCACTATCTTGCCAGTCGTCTAGGCTCATAATCTGAGTTGTCATGCTTGACTTTTGACTATCTCTCACCACCACTCCTCATATCCAATCTGTTGTCATGTCAGTTTCACTTCTGCAATATCTCTCAAATATGCCCCCTTATCCCCTCTGACACTGTTACTACCGTGACGCAGGCCCTTATCAACTCACACTTGGACTACTGCAATTGCCGGCTGATGGGTCTACCTGCCTCAAGTTTCTCCCTACTGCAATTCATCCACAAAAGTCATTTTCCTAAAGTACAGATCTAACTGTGTCACTAGCCCCACTCCACACCCACTCAATAAACTCTAGTGCTATCATCTCCAATATCAAATACAAAAATGTGTGTTTGGTATTCAAAGTCTTTCATAATATAGCCTTCCCACTACATTTTCCAGCCTTCTTACACCTTACTCCCTGGCAAATACACTTAAATTCAACAACACTGGACTCTTTGTTGTTTTACAAATCTCTTGGCTCCAGGCATTTTCTCTGGATATCCCCCATGACTAAAATGCTTCAAAATGGCTGTACCACATCAAAGCTAAACCAATAGTATATTAGTATGCCTGTTCTTCTACAACCCCTCCAACACTATTACCATCTTTTGTCATCTTTAAATTGTTCAAGGTGAAGTGAAACCTCAGAGTTGTTTTGTTCTGAATTTTTTATAATTAGATATATGGAACAATGTTTCATATAGATAACAGCATGTTTTAATATTTCTTTATATCTCATGGAGTCATTAGCTTCTACAGGGTCAATTCTAATTTTCAGGCAGTTTTTTTTCCCCCTTGGGTAAGGTTTTTTACATCTTGTTCCAAGCTGTTAATTCTCTTTCTGTAGTCTTCTTACATAGTTCTCATTTCTATTCCAATTTTTTCCTTTATCACTCTCATTCAGTCTTTAACCATTTTAATTTTTTTCTTTAAACTCTTGGTTTATCTCTTCTAGGAATTCTAGTTGGACTTTTATCCAAGCTGCATTTTCCTGCTTATAATTATTTTGGAGTCATTCTTTTCTGAGTCTATCTCAAGTTTCCTGTCACCACAACAACTCTCTATGGTAGGACTGCTTGTTATCACAACCTACTTCCTGACTTTGGACTTTATGTTAGGGCCAGGCTCTGAATGTCTGAGCTGAGCTTCTGTCCTCTTGGGACCTTCTGAAGCTTTCTTGGCATATTGGGTGTTGTATTATTCTGCTATTTCAGGGACCTGCAAGTCTTCAGTGCTCCCAAAATGGTGTAATCCAGGGCGAATTCTGCTCATTGTCCTCCTGGTCTATGACTCCGATTTGGATCTCAGCAACATGCCTATGAGTTTGTCCCAGGACGAAATTTCCAGTAGATTGCTATTAGACTCAGCCACTATCAAGTTGGTT